TTTAAATAACCGGCGTCACTTGTCGGTGATTTAACAAAATGAATTGCGCTGACCGTGGCATCAGCAACGCAATGATTTACATTTGTGATGGCAGGAAGGGAGCGGGTGGGGTGGGGGGGGGGCATGATGAACAACTTTAACGACGATAACAAAGCTGACACGTGAAAATGGACAGCTCCCCAGTGGCAGGAAAGTGTTTTGAGCGTCTGATAATTCTGTCAGAATCTGTTTTTAAACATATATTTGAACCACCGTCGTCAGAGATGGCCGGTGGCCACGATTACCTTTCTGACCCGCCCCTACTGGACATCTGTGAAATAAGAGATCTTAAAGCTCATCGAATTCCTCCAGTCTAAATAAAGATTCTGATTCTGAAATGCAGAGAACACACCTGATAATACGGCCGCCGAGGAGATAGAGCGATTAACACAGCTCGGATTGAGGTGCATGGCGCATTATTACATTACGAGGCAGCGAGAGGTGGGGTGTCAGCTTGGGAAGGCCTTCATCTAGCAGTGGATTGAAACTGGCTGATGATAATGCTTCAGTGATTAACCGAGTGTGTATGTTATTGTATGTTTGAACTTCTTTATCACCGTACGTAGCCAACCGTGCTAATCAGAGGTGCGTTTGGAGGACAACAAACTAAACACGCGAAAAAATAAGTTGAGTATGCTTTGGAGTGTAGGTGTACGTTATTTTCTCCACTTAAAAACTAAAGCACCATAATTATGTGAACATCTCTCCATGAAAAAGTGGCACCTGTCACCAGAAGGTTAAGGGCAAGTCGGATGTTGTGTGACATCACAGCTGACTCGACGTGACCGAGTTCAAGAGATAATAGTGGCCTTCATTTATATGCCTTACATAAACAAGGATACAATATTACAAACAAGGACAAAGAGCCCCCGTACAGCCTTAACATACTTTTGGGACAAGTGCTGTTAGCGAGCGCCTATAAAGGCCGGCACGACACACGAGGGGTGGGTGGCCAACACTACGCCCGACCACCTTTGTCACCCTAGCGGCGATGTTCACATATCACACCAGGTACTTATTTGAGGCCGAGTCAACCTAGTGGAGGCCCAGGATCGGCTCAGATAATCGACACTGTTGGTGGTTTTGAGCAGGGAATCAAACTCCGGAAGTTGGATTTTAGCAGAACGTGCGAACAACTACGTCACCATATGTGCATACATACACGTACACCAATTGATGAAATAACACACGAAGACCCAGACTAAAGTACCGTTAGGCTCATTATGAATCAATGCTATTGAGTGCGGCTTATAAAGCCAAAACTAAGGCACTATTAGGATTCTTATAAGTCAACATTAATACCTGAAACCTGGAGAGCCTGTGATGTAAGTGGCATCGTGGTGGAAACCGACAAGTCAAACAAATTGCAGGATATGTGCTACAACTGCTGTATACTGCAGTTCAACACGTAGGCTTTCGCGACCAATATTATCCATCATAAATATTTTTTGGGTCAGATGGGGAGTTAAATTTGATTGTTTTGGGTTATAAGTGTAAATGTTGTGGGTTTTCTCTCCAACACACCGGTGTACTGAAGTAGTAACCAATCGATACCTTTTGTTCACGTGACAAACCTTACTAATTGGCCGTGACGGGTGGTGGCGGGTTTAACGACACATTGACACTTACGCGCTCCAACTAAAAATAAATAAATAAACCCTTCGCTACGATTGCACACGGTAGATTAGTTTTCGATGATGCCGTCGGGGCAGTCTACATACCTAGAGCGTAGGCTGTGCAACAACATTAGTGCTTCGCTAATTTCCCAGCTGTACTAAGCTGGGGGGATCAAACCGTGAGCTGCGCGCGGGTGGCGCACCGACAATTCGGCTGCCCGGCCTTCGAACACCTCCTCCAGCTGCGATCGTTTTGTCCTGCAGACGGTCTCCTTTTAAACTTTCGACGAGAGAGTTTCAAAACAGCTGCAATCAATTTCTGCGCATTTCTATTTTTGACTGTCTCCTAGCCGTATGTCAAGTTTCTTTGAAAATAATATGTGTATAAAAAGAATAAGTATATAAATAAAAGCCAACATCAGACACGCGAGGGACACTTTTGATAATGCATTAACGCACTTCACCTGTGCAGGCCCCCCAGCTACGGGGGATGGAAGAGAGTGCTCATTGAAGAGAGTGCGCATTGAAGGAATGCACATTTCCAGCGCCCGCTTACAAATTCCAAAACGAATTCATCGCATCTGCGCGGGCGTGTTCGTCGGGCGTCAGACGGCAGGGCCTCTGCATCAGTGGTAGCACTGGACCCAAAGCGAACCAAGACAATGCTCAGAGGGCCCCCAACAGGCAGCTCAAGGGTTGCTCCGGGTTCATTGTCTTTTAGCTGTACGCCTTTTGGCGTCCTCTGGTCTAGCACCGTTTGAGACGAGGCTCAAAAGAAAGTTGTCTCTGGTGTGGACCAATCAGTTTCAAGGACAATGCGTATATTATCAGTGTGTTTTTTTTTGCATTCTTTTTTGCATGATTCCTTGTAAAAAAAGTTTCAGTTTTGTTGCCAGAAAAAAGTGAAAAACCTTATTCTAACAACAAAAAAGTCCGGTTTGCATCACATATCAGCCCCAATTAAAATGGTAATAAATGTAGCGAGCTAATCAATCAAATAATTGTCTATTATGTCTGTCTTGTTTGCATCTCTTAATTTCTATTTCTATTTTCTTTCATATCTTTTAGCTCATGAAAATTATATCTTTATATCTTGTTACCTTAATATGATTTTAACAGGGAAATAAGCTTCTGTTTAGGGCCCCCAATGGACAAGCAAGGCCACTTATTTGCATATACTGTGTTTTTTATTTAGTTTATTTATTTGGTATAGCCCTATGAGCCATTCGGCTCTTGAATCGGGTGCAACCACAACAAACAAAAAACATGAACACGAACAAGAAAACATCTTAAAGTGACTATGTGACTGTGACTGTGGAAACAGAAAATCCATGAAAAAAAACAGCAAAATATTCCTGAAAAAAGCACCGTACACCAACGCTGTGTGCAAAAATCCCAAAAAGCAAAGCAGAGATATCTCCAAAATAAAATAAACTTCATAATCAAAGCCGTGAAGTTACGTGTCAAGTTAATGTGTAACATCACATCTCTGTATATCAATTATTATCATCACGCGTGTATATCCTGGACATCCTCACACTGAGTCTCAAGACTCTTCGCAGTAGGAGACAGTATTGCTGCTATTTTTTGTATATTTCAGCATTGGGATGTTTGGCCAATACCAGTTACATTGTGTATGTGGGGGGGGGGGGGGGGGGGGGGGGGGGGGGGGTTCTATGGGAGGAAACCTGAGAACCCGGAGAAAACCCAAGCAGAGCAGGCGGAGAAAATACAAACTCCACATTGTCGGGAATCGAAACTAGGGCTTCTCTGGCTGTTGAGGCGGAAGTGCTACCACTTGTGCCACCCCACAACCCCACGTACGTATAAAACACAGTTTTGAGCCGCTAAAGAATGACGCACGTTTAAACTCGCGCACAAGTTGAAACAGTACCGTGCGTGAGAGGCGGGAAAGACAAGTGAGATTGTTACCACGACAAACAACGAATGCAGCAGTTGCGTTGACGGCCTGCGGACTGCCACTGATGAGCGGTTATCTGAAACCTTGTTAAATTAACGTGCACTGAATGGTCCAATGCTGGCACAAACACTCATCTCTTATATGAAAACTGAACAAAACAGCGACGTGATTCACGTGAGACACCCAGCAACAGCCTCGCTCTTGACTTCCCCTCAACCTCAGTGTCAGAATATCATATTACTTGGTTAACTTAATTCGACTTTTCCCAAAGTTATTTTCCTACCGCACATGAAATGAAATTCTAGAGGTGTGACCGCGTTGCCAGCAACCTCACGATCAATACCGCAGCCTCAGGGGTAGTCACACGCTTGCCACGAAGCTCATGGTCCACCCTAAATCGCACGCACGCACACCATGACAGATGCGGATACCTGATGCACAAGTGGAAAATTAAAACCTAACCAGTGCGCAACCGTGGTCTTCCAGAAACAGACCGTGCAACGGATATAACGACCCAATGCCCTATACACAAACACGCCGGAGACATCACGGCGATCATATACACTGGCCCCCCGGCTCTTGACGCGGCCGTCTGGCTTGACCATCTGAATGTGAAATTGTAGCCAATGCTCCTGCGTCTACCATCAGCAGCCGTACGCAAGAAGAAGAAGACGACGGCCGACCTCGTGCACGTGGAGCTGCATGGTCTGTGCTGGCGGATCACAGCACAAATTTAGACAAGGCATCGGCAGCGGTCCGGCGTGTCACCGCGTGTGACCAGGGGAGCGGGAGCGCAGGGGTTAGCACGCTGGGGCTCCGCATCAAGTCACCCGGGTTCGATTCCCGCTCACGACCAGCACGAGCTACGATTATCTGTGAGCGGTCCTGGGTCTCCCCTAGGTCGACTTGGCCTCAAATGAGTACCTGGTGCGGTGTGTAAACATCAGCACTGGGGAGACGAAGCCTTGCCACCCACCGCTCGTGTTCCTTGCCGGCCTTTATAGGTGAGCGCTATGTATGTACTTGTGTTGAACTTCTTTCACACCATACATTGCCAACTGTGTAAAATCGGAGGTGCGAGGAAACGTAAAAATATTTTGCAACATTTCAAGCAATGGACGCACTTTATCGCAGAGAGATCTCGATCTAACTTGGCTTTAAATATGTTTTTTTACTGTATAAAATTGTTGATTTTATGTACAATGATGTGATGGTGTTTTCGGTGGTAAATTTGTTCTGGAAAGGTAATTCGCATTAACCAAATTTTTTTATATTGACTTGGCTTTAGCTATTTCCGCTTATTCAGAGAGATCTCTCTGTTGTGAAGAAGAGCCATGGCCTGAAGTGTGGCCTATTGTATATATATATATTCCTCTCTATGGGGCAGTGGTATTGATGAACGTCTTGAATATGTTCCGCTGCAGCGCACAGCCTGGGCAGGGCAGCAGCGGTGTGAGTCTGGGCAAAGTGCAGAAGGGCCTTCGGCCGTGGCACACAAAGAGGGGAAACTGAAGCTGGCTTCAATATCCTGTGGCAGGTAGAGTTTGCAGATTTGTTTTTGCTTGCCCGCCCCCCCCGCCCCCCCCCCCCCCCCCCCGGTGTAAATTTCTGCTGTGAATTTGTGCCGTGAGAACACAGAATTGGCGCACGGAACCATGCGCGCTGGGCATGGGGAGGGCCCAGGGTGCATGCGGCGATTGCGTGACCCGCGAGGGCGCGTCGCGCGCAGCCGCGCTTGCTCGCGAGTTCCAGCGCCTCGCAAGTGGCAGCTCTGCAAGGGTGGATTAGCGCAGGATAGAAGTGGTTCAAGGGCTACGGGATAGCGGTAGCAAGTACAGCAAGTAGGTTGCCCACCTATATTCTGCACAATCAGAAATCTTAATTTATACTGGAGGAATCCGATGCGCTGTAAAGCTCTTATTCACAGATGTCCAGTAATGGGCTGGTCAGAAAGTTACAGTTGCTACCGTCAGTCTTGTTCTTGTGTCCGGCAAGGTGAAATTAGGAACATTATGTGTGTACGTCAGCGTTATTAAGCCACTGGCTAACCTCCGTGGAGGATTGGTGGATGAGGCGGTGAACTGATGAAGTTCATAAAAACTTGTTTTTACTCTTTGGTTCTTTCGGTAAAGTCACGTAGAAAGAAAATAAATTCAATACTAGAGTACGACGTTTCGATTGCAACACAGGCAACCGTCATCAGGTAGAACTAAATTTGAGAGAGAGACAAAACACAGACACGGAGACACACAGACAGACACACAAGCAGAGAGAGACACACAACATAGACACACAGAGACCCAATGCCTCTGTGTCGAGGCCTTAAATAGAGAGGGGGGAGGGGGGGGGGCAGAGAGAGAGGTGGGTCTGCTGGAGCAGAGAAATTAGCATGTCAATGAAAGACCCGACAAGACTGGCAAGCGACCGAGGGAGAGAAAGAGTGAATGGACCTATGAGAGCCTGGTCAATTTTAGAGATAGAAATTCCTTTCCAGCTCAGACCCCGCTTGCTTGCCCATCACCACATATATAACCTCTTGTTGTAACAGCTCTCTCGCTGGTTCAGCAGTTCCACTGCTGGATTATTTTTTTCTGCCTGAGGACGACTGCTTGTGTTGCGATCGAAACGCCGTGACATATTATTTATTTTATTTTATTTTTCGACCAACGTGACTTTACTGAAAGAACCAAAAAGTATGGAAATAGGCAGTTTGAGAAAACAACAGGACGGAAATATTTCGACGCTTCAGAAGATTTCCCTTCTTGTCAATTTGCTTTCTTGGATTAAATTATGACTGCTATGCAGTAACAACAATACTCATAATGGTGCCATTTCATTACCTAAGAAAACCTTACTCAGCCTCAAGACTCCTCTTATGGAGGGTCTTGCATCTTGATGATTGACAATGAGCAGTTTGCTCCATGTGAGCGGAAATTGGGACTATGCAAAGAAAACCCAATGCATACGAGGGAGCAACATTCAAAAGCGCTACACAGATGGCTTCAACAATCCAACAGTCCACCGATTGACTGCCGTATTCTGGCCACTTCACAGCCCGGTGAAAAACTTTTGATATATTCACAGTACTGTAATGTGCTTTGCATGAAAGCACTCTACCAGCCATAACAAACTATTTTCATCTTTTTTTTGTATTCATCTGGCGAGATTTACTGGAGAACTAACCCACGTGAATGCCCGCCGATAATTGATGTGGAACACGTTTGTAATGGATTGTGGTTGACGTGTGTTTGGTTTCAGAGCCTCGTTTTGGCATTCAGTTGAAGGGGCCTTAAACTGGCATGGTTCACAAATATTTGAGCCAAAACACACAGCGATTCAGGTTGCCTAATATCTACGCTATTATTAGGCTCTTGACCATGAAAGCTCACGAATAAAAAAATGTACTAAAAACACCAATGTTGCAGTTTAAAAAATTCCTAACAGCTCCTAATAACAACGATCATCATAATAACGTGCATTGCTTACCCAGAAAAGCTGCAGAGCCACCAAGCCCATTTCTTTCAGGAGGGTCCTGCATTGAGATGTGTGGCCAATTCCATTCATGAGCGATTTGGCCCACGTTGACAAGAAAACCAGGCGCATGGAAAGGGGATAACACTCGAAAATCCATGCTGATTCATGCAACACAATTACTCTGCTGCCTTTTCCTGGCCACTTTGCAGCCAGTCGTTATGGGAACTCCGCAAATATTTATTTGTGGAAAAAAAAATGTCAACGTGGTATATCGTGATTTCACTGAACATATCATTACATATACACGCAAACAATGGGTCTACAATATTACGCATTGTGTATCAACAAAGGTAAAGGTGCAGGGCCGCGACTTCTTGCTTGTGCCACTGCTGGCTTGGTTGTTTCTATGCGACGGTAATAAATGAGAGCTCTCTTTGAACATTTCTACGGTTTTCCTTAAAACATTTTCAGGAGACGTTTTAGCTTAAAAAAATAATGATGCTTAATTATTAGACATCCCGAAACAGTTTTTTTTTTTTTGGGGGGGGGGATAATTCCCAGAATTACCCTTCAATGAATCATATTAAATGCACACATTAAATTACCTAAATGAGCGCAGGGGAATTAATTAGGCCAGCCGCCGACGCAATTACGTCTAATCGGTTACCATCATATTCCTGTTCTCTTCCGGGCTCTTGTTGTTGTGGTTTTTTTTTCCAGACGGCCGTGTTTGCCGTGGCGCTCTTGACTTTACGCGGTCGCTGAGAAACGCGAGGAATTTCAGGGCATAGGCTCACAAACAACGGACCGAGTTGGGTGATGTTTAAGCGTCATCACTCACCGTACCATCGCTCATCGTGGAAGAGAAGATATCGGCCAGTGAACAATGGAGGCAGGGGTCGTCCGCTGTTTACAGCCCTGAGGCAGGTATGGAAAATCCACTATCCTACGGCGGGGACGAGTATTTCCATAGGACAACCACTGTTGACTTCCTCACGAAGTGGTAATCATTCTGTCGACCCCCGAATGATGATGGGCTAAGTGAACATCTGGCCAGGATTTGAACTCACAACGTTCCGATTGCTAGCACATTGCTCTACCGCTGCGCGACATCGCCGGTTAGATACGAGAGTAGAATTAATTGATTAAAATTAATAATTGTACTCGCCGTACAATTATTGACTCACCTGTGCAAAAAACAGCCGAGTTTAAACTCGCCCTATCCGTTACCATGGTAGCGAGACTTGCAGTTCCCTTTGTGGATACATATTTTATATGGAAAAAAAACTCATCTCGCATAAGGAATTTGTATATAATATTGCTACATGTGTTGACCAGGTTGGATAGCTTAAATGGAGCGCTCTTGTCAGTAAAATTTGGTAATCCAGTAGCATTTGCTTGCATGTATATACGTATGTCGAACTTCTTTCGCAAAGTTCAGTAGCCAACCGTGCTAATCGGAGGTGTGGGGGAAGGACAATAAACGAATCTCAAAAGCACTTAGAAAGAAATGAGTTTTCAATCTAGATTATTTAACAGTAACTTCCTAATATCAGAAGGAAGAACTTTCAAGACGGCCGTAGAAGTGCATCTGAAGGTGCGCGATGTGGTGACCATCCTTGTTTCATTGCTGCCAAAAGCCGCTGCGAGGATGACTGGAGTTCGCGTGGAAATATATTATTTGCTAAATAAAACTGGCTACTGATGAGACCCAAAAGGTTAAAACTGGTCTAGGATTTGCTTTCTTAAACAAAGACTTCTGAATAATATTGATGTGGAGAGTGAACAGACCGATAGACGAAACACATTTGTATTCCTATGAAAAGAGATACAGAGCAGAATTCAAATTTTAGATATATTTATAGTTTTTACACCAAAATATATTCTATAGGATCATACCAGTATAGGTTCAACGTGATCCACAAGTGTGAAACAAAAAATAATGTAGTCACGAATCGATCCCATTACTCTCAACTACAGCTGAATTAATATCATTGCCGTGGGGTGAATCGTGAACAAAAGAAATGTATTAGTCATGGAGCACACAGCACACAAGTTTTCCATCTCTTGAAGGTTTAACACTCACGATGCGCTATTTTTAATATCCGAATGTGCAAAGAGTTAGTGTGCGGCGGCGGCGGCACACGGCACTAACGCCGCGCAGCTATAAACATGAGCGTTAGGTTTGCTTGCCGAGCACGGCACATCGCTGTGCGAGCTCAACGGATTTTGGCCGACGTTTCAAAGCAGGAATAGCAGGGGTAGTGAAACGGGAGGAGCAGCTGCCAGCGGTTCGCGCTCGTTACTTGGGGTCTCATACCATTAGTTCGCAAATCTCTGGGGTTGCACCCTCGATTGGCCTTACGATTGAGATATTGGTACACCTGAAATGGTACCCCAAGGTTATAGTTGGTGGGTGAGTGGGTGGGTGAGTGGGTGAGTGGGTGGGTGGGTGAGTGGGTGAGTGGGTGGGTGGGTGAGTGGGTGAGTGAGTGGGTGGGTGAGTGGGTGGGTGGGTGAGTGGGTGGGTGAGTGGGTGGGTGAGTGGGTGAGTGGGTGGGTGAGTGGGTGAGTGGGTGGGTGGGTGAGTGGGTGAGTGGGTGAGTGGGTGGGTGGGCGGGTGGGTGAGTGGGTGAGTGGGTGAGTGGGTGGGTGGGCGGGTGAGCGGGTGAGTGGGTGGGTGAGCGGGTGAGTGGGTGGGTGGGTGAGTGGGTGGGTGGGTGAGTGGGTGGGTGAGTGGGTGGGTGGGTGGGTGAGTGGGTGGGTGAGTGGGTGGGTGGGTGGGTGAGTGGGTGGGTGCACGGACTGTCCTTAGAGAGCTGTGGCATTCTATTTATTTCGCTACACGTTCTACACAAGGCCACATGTACACCTGGCAACGTGGCTCCATTCTGCCTGGTAGGTGAGTTCCCCGTGGTCTACATTTGTACCAGTACATACACGGCAAACTCGACACACAAACGAATTACTTCATAACTACATATATTCATATACATCTTAGGCACAGCCGAAACAAAGGCGAATGGCATCTTAGAAAGTCATCCAAACAATTTAAAGAGAAGTCACAATAATTTACACCTCTCTATTAATCTACTACTGGATGAAGGCTTTCACACACTTATGTCGGGGGGTGGTGACTATACTTCACCATACTGGTCAGTGTGGGTTGGTGAAAGTGAGAACCAGGATCGGTTCAGGTATCACTAGCCACTGATGTTAGCCGTGGTTTGGAATCAAACTCAGGTGGCTGGGCTAATAGCAAAGTGCACTGACCAGGTCCTGGACCTCCACCTGGTCGATTCAGCCTTAAACAGGTACCTGTGCTTTGTGTAAACATCAGCATTAGGGGAGACAAAGGCGGCTGGATGCGGTGCTGGCCACCCACTTCACTGTTTGCCATGCTGGCCTCCATAGGTGCTCGCTCATAGTACTTGCCCCAAGTCTTTTAAGGCTACTTGGGGAACCTTTTTCTTTGGAGTGGTGGCACAATGACTCGCAAAAACCTTATTAGGTTGTCGCCAACGGTGCTTGCCGTCGCGGTATATAATGATGTACGTGGGATACAATATACGTCGTATTGGTGTGTGTGGAATGCAGGTAATTACTTGAAAATGGGTTATTAAAAATGCACAGATGTGCACATTATTCTTTTGAACTTATCAATTTTGGTAATAAATTTCAATGCACTTATTCTATTACATGATTAGGGAATACGGATCAGTTTCAAAATAATCAGTGCTCGTTAAAACACAACTTTGAAATAATCAGTGCTCGTTAAAACACAACTTTCAATGTGGACGCATTATTTACTAATTTGGTCGAGGGGTGGCTGATAAAGACCGATTCGTTTAAAAATTTGTGTTTTTAATTTATCCAACTGCCAGAACTTAAACCCCCATAATGAGTTCCATGCAAAACCAAAAGGGGAGAGAGAATAAGCCTGTTGTCTACTGTCTGCGCAATTACAACATCATCACCAATGAATGTGCCTTGCATCATTTACAACGGAGGCCAATTAATCACAGGGCCACGATTCCAACGAAAAAGGCCCCGTGGCGCTTTACAAGCCACTCGTGGTTGACTTCGTGAGATAGCACACGTGGAGACCCGGACGTTTGGCCGCTGCGGTGGCTCGGAGATGTTATCAACCTCGCCTGGTATGCAGGAGGTCGAGGTTCGATGCCGACCCCGACACCTGTATATTTCTCGTTAGCACGTTCCCCTCTTGGTCACGTGGATTTTTCTCCGGGTCCTCCGGTTTGTCCCTCCATAACCATAATCAGCGCACGTTTAGAGTATTTGGCTGCTGTAAATTCCCGCATAATAAACTACTTCGTTGAGCTATCATTTGTGGCCAGGTCGCTTCTGAAAGAGATATACAGCTCAGTGGGCTTTACCTGGTAAAATAAACATGTTTTTTTAGCTTAGTTTTGGAAAAACAAGGGAAAAACGCATTAACAATGCACTGGGGCCATGTCTAATAATGTCAGAACCAAACTATATATTTGCAACCATTAAAAGTCACGCATCACTATCTTAATGCATTCACAAACTTACGCTGCGTGGATTTCAATTTTTCTGCGTTTCGTTTGCGGTGCTGTCCACAACCTTCGACTGTGCGATTGAAGAATACTGGTGAAAAAAAAATAAACAAACGAGTCAGGAGAAGAACAACATCATATCACCAATGTGTACGGTTGGCAATTTCACGAAAAAATAACGCATCGCTGCATTCCGGTGTGCTGGATGCTGGCTACTCTCCAATTGCTCAAGTCAACCTGGAATAGATATGGCATGATCACGAATACAGAAAATTGCGTTCGCTTCATCCAGATCCAGAGCATATCTGGCCAACATCACAATATGACAGTTTAATCCCAGTGCCGTTTTCTTTTTGAAATTCGGTCTGCAGAAAGTTTCAATTTGTGGCTTGGTCGGGCTTAAAATAAAAATTAAACAAAAATTGCCTTTTAGAAATTCCACGATGCCTGCCATTCACACTGCGAGTGCCAATAATTATGAGAGCTCCAGATTTCCAAACAGCTGCTCGATTTTCCATTATTGATCTCATTTCTCTCTCAATTCTTTTTTTAGAATTCAATTTCCCTCTCATCACCTCACCTACCCTCATCGCACGCCCTCTCCATATCCCATCCCCTTCCCTCTTGCCGCCTCAATTTGTTTTTTATCCCACTACAGATGCCCCTTCGCTCTCAATAAGTCCTCGCGGAATTATTGGCTTTTCATTTCCCCATGTCTGCATTCATATTGCTCTCCTGAATCCTCTGTCACCACTCCACCCTTCCCACACGCCACCTCTCTTGAGCAGGGCCACATGGATTTAATTTGTGGTCAACAAACATGCCCGGCAGGCAGGGCAAGCAATGGCGAAATAGCAGCTCCAGCAACTGAATTTAATCATCTCCCCCCAAAGTTAAACCAGCTTTGGTTCTGAGTGCGCACCACATCCACGCTAAGAATTCCACGTTAATTACTCACCCTCTTGTTTTAATAAGGGTCACCATTATACAATTTCCTACCAGCCAATCAGGATGGATGGTGGTCAGACAGCAGAGACAATCCAGAAAAAAACATCTTCAGTCCAATCTTAAGAAATTAAATCATACTTTAAAAGATGCATTAAATAGACACTGTCTTGGAGCTACACTCACGAAGACTGATACTTAAATTGTCAACTCAGCCAATCATCCCTCTAAGGATTAATAAAAAAAATAAGTGCCATTTTGGTGGAAGTCAGCAAACAAATGGGTAGGTTGGGTGCGGTGGGATAAAGTGTGGGTAACTCCCACCTCTTACAAGATGTCTGGCTTGTGTGGAAGAGTAGGCCAAAGTACCCTCTAGGGGGGCTCTATAGTGGCGGCCCTTCTGCCAAAAGTGGCATAAACAAACGATGTACATATTTTTTTTATTAACTAGAAATAAGTTTTATTTTACTACGTAAAGCCTGCTGAGCTAAGCTCTTTTTCAGAAACGACCTGGCCACAAATGATAACTCAACGAATTGGCTCATCGTGTGGAAAATTATAGCAGCCAAATACTCTAAGCGCACTTTTCTAAACGTGGAGGGGAAAACTGGAGGACCCAGAGAAGAATCCACGTGACCATGGGGAGAGAGACACGCAAACTCCAAACATACAGACGTCAGGGTCGAACCCACGACCTCCTGTATACCAGGGGAGGCAATTAACATCCTGCAAGCAATTGCAGGGCTCCATCTTTACCTTTAACAACATTAGCCATCTTCTAGACTTACCCCACCACCATCTCGTCTCCACTACTCACTCCATTTAAACAGGGAGACGCTTTTATCCAGTTTTCCCAGCTTCGCTATTACCTGGTGTGAATGGCTTTGTAGTGACACTCGGTAACAAAGTTTCCAAATGTCAATTGCATTTGCTGGTGCCAATTTGGGCGATGGCCATGAGTGACTGCGTTTTTATTGTAGAGCTGTTTGTTTGGGTCTTGGGCATGGTGCGTGACAGAACGCAAACGGAAATAAAAGCCTCGTCGCCTGCTCATTCACCATTTCTCAGCGCCAAATACAACAGAGCGAAAACGCATAATTTCTGAAAGAAATCACCCAATAAGCCAGCTCATTGCCACAGCAAGGCGCCCATTCACACAGACTCTCAAGCAACCTCATTAATAACTCTTTACGGTGAAATTGACTTTTATAGCGGTCACGAGAAATACCCTTAACGGCTCAATGAAAACGCCACCACAAAGACGCTTGCTTTACTGTAAATGTGCTGTGAGCGTAAAGGAAAAAGTTTCGGTGAGTCCCAATAACTTTGTAAATCTAATGAGGCTGTTGTGTGCGGCCCTTAAATTATACAAAACGAAGTCCACGTAAACAAAGAGGCGTTACCCGGGTGTAAAAATGAGCAGGACCGTGCCCATGAGTTAAGTTTACCCACGCAATGATTGCCAACAACAAGATGAATGTATGCAATTTGAACAAAACAAAAATGTGGGAAAGTCAATGTTATTACACTGCCTGTTAAAGTCTTCTTTGGTTCTTTCGGTAAAGTCACGTAGAATGAGAATAAAATAATAAATTGATAAAATAAAATAACACAATAATATTCTCACGACGTTTCGGCCACAACACAAGCGGCCTTCATCAGGTGAAGGGGGCGAGACTGTCTGGTAGGACAGCGCTGGAGTGAAAGAGCCACGTTCAGATCACGGCCTTTAAGCTGTGTGAGAGGAACAAAGCGCCTTGACAAAGGAATTAGCATATAATTTAGCATTGAAATGGCTGAATGATTAGTTAAAGCACAAGATGCGATGATAAAGCACAAGATGCGATGAAAATCCTGAATATATCGCTATTCTGAATTAGTTAAGCGACAAGCGTAATCATATATATACAATTACATATACACCGAATTCTGCGGATTATAACACTATCACTGTTACATTGCTTTTATGGCTTCATTTTGGTGATGTCGAAAACTTTTTTGGTTTGGCCATGTCTGTTTGTTGTAGTACGGAGTTAGACTGATGGCCTTAATCTATGTTGTCTTGTGGTTGTTGTTTTATTTTTGCACACAGCGTTGGTGTATGGTGCTTTTTCCAGGAATATTTTGCTGTTTTTTCCTGGATTTTCTGTTTGCACAGTCACATAGTCACTTTAAGATGTTTTCTTGTTCGTGTTTTTTGTTTGTTGCGGTTGCACCCGATTCAAGAGCCGAATGGCTCACAGGGCTATACCAAATAAATGAAAACTGAAAAAACTATTTTTTTCCCTTCAATATAAAAGAAACGTTATAGGTGCATGTTGTAATCTGTTAGCCGGGTGTGTCAATGCGTGTGTTGGGGGAGCGGTAGTGTAGCGGTTAGCGCTACGCTACGCTGCGCTACAACCCGGCGACCCGAGTTCGATTCTCGCTCACGGCCAACACTAGGTGTCAAGTATTAAACCGGTCATGGGCCTCCCCTAGGTCGACTCAGCCTAAAATGAGTACCTGTTGCAGTGTGTAAACATCGCCACTGGGGGGGTAAAGCGGCAGGGAGTGGTGTTGGAAACCCACCCCTCGTGTTTCATGCCAGCCTTCATAGGTGCTCACTAACCGCACTTGCCCCAACAGCCTAAGTCTGTACGGGGGATCTTTGTCTTTGTTGCATGGGAAATACTTTATTGACACCAGGGTGAAATTTGGGGTGCGTCTTACTTTCTGGAGTGTCATGTTGAACTTCTTTTGCACCATACGTAGCCAACCGTGCTATTTCGAGGAGTATAAATTAAATCGACATATAAAAAACCACCACCACGCATGCAAATAACCGTTTAAATATTACCTGATCCTAGAGTCTGCCATTAAAGGTAATGTCTTTAACAGGCACAAAAGGAAACCAAAAAGCACGTGTATATCAAATAAACGATCCACCTTCACATAACCCTATGTACATATAGCAACAGATGTAAATAATAATAATAATGATTGTTTTCAGCCCTTTGCCAATCTACTGTTTAGTTGAAGGCAACCCAACTCTGGATCAGTGACGGAGTTTGTTTGACCATACCTCAGTGCGGGTTTGTAAACGAAGGGTTCCAATGGACCAGCTGAAATATCACTCGAAAATTGTGTTAGCCATGGAGCAGGACTCAAGTGCGCAGGTTCACAGTGCAGTGTGCTAACCACCGTGCCAGCACTCTACACCAAAGCCCTAACCTTTAAATGGGAGACTTCCCTGGCTACGTTTTGGGGCGAGCCTCAGACGTGGACACAAGACTCATTGGGAAAGAACTTTTTCACACTGGGGTGAGACCACAGAGGACACATCAGGGTCAGTGTTAAGAGGGCATAAAGTGACCTGGTAAAACAATTAAATGCACTTTGCCGTTTTAGAACGTTTTAGTCATCGTTATGTCTGTATTTGTTTATCGAGAGTGTCGTTTGTATTGTTTGGACTTTTAGAGTATGTTGTAATCATGATGATTCCTGAGAATCGTAACCAGCTGGCGGTTTGTTTTACGTCAAATAATATGGCTAACGATAACAGAAAGACACAGCCAACACACAGGTCGCCGTATTTATGATCAAACACAGGAAGCTGGACATTTACTGAAACTCATATCGGTTGACTCAAACTTTCATCCCTCCCTTATTGATAAAAAATAAGCACCACTTGCTTTGAAGTTAACAGTCGCTATCCTATGGATATGCTGGCTCATGCCATGGGAATATGGACTTTCTACAACTAGCTCAGGACTAAATATTAAAAGAAGTGCTAACCCACTGCTTAATTGAGCAGGCAGAGGCTTTGGACTTTGCTCATCTAGTTCAATATATTTGACTCTTTAAGTATCCGACGCTTTAATTTTACAGAGCGGAGAACCTCGAGTTTGACGGCTTCTTTCCAACCAGAGGGAGAGAATGTGGCAATTCTTTATTTATATGTTGCTCACTCAAGGTTTGAAAAAAAACAATTACTGCACTTCGTTCAACGTGGTAGTGTGCGTTCTGTTATGCACACTGCATACATACAAACACACACTCCCACAATTCGCAGGGCGTGCGGTCATTCTTGCAGCGGCGCTTTTGTTCGTCTAACTGCCTTGTAACTTCACATGCCAGGTGTGCTTAATATCGGCGCTCAATGTG